GTAATTTGCATGAATAATAGACAACAGTAATGATTCAGTAACTAGGGCTAGTCTATTATAGGCAATCACCAATATAAACTCAATATAAGAGCAGTCAGTAAAAACCTTTATTATCTGATGAAGCATAATTTAGAGGCTATAACTATATAACAAATAGCTGAATACCAATAGATACAGTTGCATGCAATATATAATCTGCTGTTTCTATAATAAAAATACAATATAAAAGTTAAAGGGCAAGTTTAGGACCAAAATTATCTTTATGATAAATTTTGTAGAAAAGTTGAATCCAGAAGATAAAAGTTTGAATGGTCAGAAATTTTTGAAGTTTTTTTTTTGAAACTAGGACCCCAGATACTCCGTGACACTGGCAGGAATTTTTTTGCCTGTGTGACATGGCTAAAACATTTCCGAGCAGTGTGACATGGTCAAAACATTTTTTAGCAGTGTGACATGGCTCAAACATTTCTTAGCAGTGTGACATGACCAAAAGATTTTTCAGCAGTGTGACATAGCTAAAACATTTCCGACCAGTCTGAAACACTTCAAATATTTCCGACCACTCTAACATGCTTCAAACATTTCCGACCACTTTCAGATGGCTAGGATATTTTTCAATGCAATATATCAACCCAAATATTTCTGGTCACAATATTTCTGGTCAAACATTTTTGCCCAATGCAATAATATATTTTCCTCCAGAGGCAAAAAAATAAACGGCCAAGGAACCTATTAGCCTGGATATATAGCTATATGTTTCAAGGCTAATAGCTTGTTCAAGGTGGGTGACTGAAGTGTTTGAGCTTCCTATTTTTTTTTAACGGCCTGATAGCCCAACCAACCAACTGGCCCCTGGTCCGGGATTATGATCCTGACACCCCCTTGGAGCAAACTTTCCTAATTTGAAAGGGATGTCACAGAAATGTAACAACACGTGATGTTAGAAGTAAGTGGATGTCCTCTACCTTACATATAATGCAGGGCAGCAAGCCGCATGGCCTGCTATGGTCCATTTCAATTGAACATTAATTTATACAAGCATGAAGGATATTTAACGGCTGTCAATATGTGGGATGACACCAAGGTGGAGGACTTTTTTAAACTCGTATCCGATTTTGGACAATGTAACTTGTCCCACATGGACCCAAGGGGGTATGCTTGTCCAAGTGGGTAAAAAATCTGCCTACATTTTGAATTTGAAATATTGTACAGTCATCCACCCCTTAATGATACAGTGAAATCATTAAATTTAATTTTCAATTCTAAGCAGCATGTCTTCCCCATAAAAACTGTACAATAACTCTCTGTTAATCAGTATGATCCACCCCTCCAAATTTCAGAAGATTCTGTTGTGTTGTTGTGTAGAAATTTATCAAATATGGGTGTATCATTGGGGGGTGAGAGCATTTTTGGCACAGTCCGCAAAACATCCACTTTTGAACATTTTACTGTGGAACCAGAACTTGTTCAATTGACTTGAAATTTTGTGGAAGGATTGTCGGTATGTATGTGTAGCTAGGAAATTTTGTTTAAAAAAAACGATGATGATTTGGGGAAGCGATAAAGTATACAAAAGTGTATCAAATGGGGGTGGTGTATCATTCAGGGGTGGATGGCTGTACCTATAATATGTTTCTGTTAATCTGCCAACATTTTTCTGGCCTGCTCAACACTTTTGTAGTCTGCTCAA